CGGCATGACAATCTAAATTGTCATCCCACAACAATTTTTTTGGGGGTGGCCCGGCTGCACACGGTGCACTTCTACAACCGGCGGTCGCACCCGAACAGCCGATGCCGACCATCCCTGTGGAACGGGGAGTAGAACATAACATGTGCACTCACTCGGTTCGGGCTCCACACGACTACAAGTCCCGGTCGATTGCAGATTTTTAGCTCAAGCTCGGCCTCGCGCGAAAGCCACTCGACGGGACCTGCTGGAGACATGAGCTCGAAGGCCGGATTCGGCTGAAAGGCGAATGCTCTTCACGTAAGCCTCGACAGGTGAGCAAGAACGCAAGGAAAGCGATGAGGCGGGAGGGGTGCCTGAACCGCACCCTGACGGCTTTTCGCTTCGAGTGGGGGCCTCGGTTTGCAATGAATTTCTGTGGGTTGCTTGCGCCTGCAACACTCTGAGGCAAGGCCTGCCGCCAGGAATCGAAGCCTGGCTCAAGGAGGTCAACCTGAGAGTGGAAGACGCCCAACCCATCCTCGCCGTGCGACCCGGCAAGCCGAAAGGTGACGATCGGTCCCTTACGGTCCGGATCCACGGCGAGGATGTGGAAAGGCGGGGCCGAGTACTGCGCTGGTCTTCGGACGGTAAGTCGCAGGTTTCACCCGAGAGGGTCAGTCCTCTCCGTGATTTTTTAAAGCGCTTCCATCCCGAAGAGGATTGGAAGCGCCTCTACATCTGGCAGATCGGACATCCGAAGCCGCAGTGAAAAAAACGCGAGCCTTGCAACAGTGACATGGGAGAGACAGAAAGGAGAGAGAGGAAGAGAGAGAGGGGGAAAAAGGGAGGCGGCACACGCCGGCCAGCCCCGCCGGCCCGCATCAAATCCAAGAACACTGCGCCCAGGCCCAGGTTTGTCATGAAATGACAATCCCGCCCCCCTCACCCATTCCCCCCCCCCCGACTATGACATGGGCCGGATTCGAGAGGGCTTCAAATTGTCACAACGTGACAATCTGGGAGGGGCGGGGGGGGGGGGCAGATTGTCATGGCTTGACAATCTGGCCGCCGCGACCACACGAAGAGTGTGACGCAGGTGGGGCCCGGAGGGGCCCCAAATAGTAGCGGGATGACAATTTAAATTGTCATGCCCTGACAATCCTGCCCCCTCTCACCCCCTCCCCCACCCCCAAATTGTCACGCCATGACAATCTGCAGAAGGAACATGCCCAGGATTGTCACGGCATCACAATCTAAATTGTCATTCCGCGACAATTTTATGGGAGGCAGGGCGTGACAATCCGGGCGGCCCGGATACACACAGTGCGCTTTTGGAGTTCGCATTTGCCCCCGCAAATGGCGGGAACATGACATCCTTGTGGAAAGAAGGGTGGCCTAACCGCAGCATGGCTGCGGCGAACCATTCGACTGACCGGCCTCCACATGCCTAGCAAGAGCCGACTCACTGTTTCGCTGCAGCTGCCTTGCTCAAGACTTGCGTCGCGATTTCGAAGGGTGGACTTCAAGACGATGGCACCAAAGGCCCGGCTGGGCTGGAGGAGTCATTGATTCTGAAGCGAGCTCGTCGCAGGTCTCGAAGCATGCCAAAAGGAGGCAAAGCGTCAAGGCTGCACCAATGGTACGGTCGAGGCCTTTTGCTTCACGCCAGAGACTCAGAGTGCAGTGCAATTTATTTTTTCTGGGTGCCTGCCCCATGCCTGTTGCAGACGCGGCCTTCCACCCGACGTGGACGCGCTCTTGAGCAAGCAGCTGGACATGGGACGTGAAGCCCCGATCCTCGCCGTGCGGCCAGGTCGGCCCAAAGGCTCCGACTGGAGTTGCCAGATCCGGCTGTATGGTGAGGAGAGGGTGCGGCGGGCGCAGATCAAGGGGGTGTCTGAAGACAATAAGACCCTTGTTTCACCAGAAAATTCCACCCCTTTGGGATTATTTTTAAAACGTGCCTTCCACCCCAAAGAGGAATGGAAGCACGTGCACCTCTGGCGCCTCGAGCTAGAGCAGTAAAAAAAGGGTGAGTTTTGCATTGGAGCAGCAGCCTAGGGAAGTAGTAGGCAGGGACAGGCAAAGACAGAAAGCAAGACAGCATCACCCGGAAAGAAGGGAAAGGAAAGAGGGACACCAGAGCCCGAGGAGTTTAACGCAGCAAAGGGCCGGAGGGGCACCAGATTGTCATGCCATGACAATCTGGAGGACCCCGACCGCAAAAAGAGTGTAACACAAACGGGGCCGAGACAATCCAAAATTGTCACCACATGACAATTTTAATTGCCCTTTCGTGACAATTCGGAAGGAAGGCAAGGGAAGATTGTCCCGACATGACAATCTGGGCAGCCTCGGCCCCACGAAGAGTGTGACGCCCCCCCCCCCCCAAATTGTCATAGCGGAATAATTTGAAGACGGCTTCATGCCCATGCCAGGATTGTCATGCCATGACAATCCTGGCCCCCCCTCCCTCCCCACCCCCCTCCCTCCAGATTGTCACGACGTGACAATCTGGCGGAAGAAAGCCCGAGATTGTCACGTGGGAAAAGGCCAGATTGTCATGCCATGACAATCTCCCCCCCCCCCCCCCCCCCCCCCCCCCCCCCCCCCCCCCCCCCCCCCCCCCCCCCCCCCCCCCCTACCCCCCCCCCCCCCCCCCCCCCCCCCCCCGCCCCCCCCCCCCCCCCCCCCCCCCCCCCCCCCCCCCCCCCCCCCCCCCCCCCCCCCCCCCCCCCCCCCCCCCCCAGAGTGTATCACGGGCCGGATTCGAAGGGACCTCAAATTGTCACAACACGACAATCTGGGAGGGGCGGGGGGGGGGGGGCAGATTGTCATGACTTGACAATCCGGCCGCCACGACCACACGAAGAGTGTGACGCAGGTGGGGCCCGAAGGGGCCCCAAATTGTCGCGGGATGACAATTTAAATTGTCATGCCGTGACAATCCCGCCCCCCCTCGCCCCTCCCCCGCCCCCCAGATTGTCACGCCACGACAATCTGGGGAAGGAACAGGCCCAGGATTGTCACGAAATGACAATCTAAATTGTCATTCCGCGACAATTTTTTGGAAGGCAGGGCGTGACAATCCGGGCGGCTCGGATACACACAGTGCGCTTTTTGGGTTCGCATTTGCCCCCGAAAATGGCGATGGTCAGCATCCTTGTGGAAGGGAGTGTGGCCCAACCGTAGCATGGCTGCGGCGAACCATTCTTCCGAACCGGCCTCCACATACCTAAAAAGGGCCGAGGATGTCTTCCCGAGCACTTTCGAAAGGCTGCGGCCACACTTTCGGGGTGCGTGCCACGGACGCGCTTTGCGCGAGGATTCGTTCCTACTGGATTCGTTCCTCAGTGCCACGGGCCGGGATCTTCCGTCCAACCTGTTAAAGGGAACGCGTGTACGCGAGTGCACGTTACTACCGGGCTGTCGACTCCTCCGAAGTCGGCGAACCCAGCACAGGTGAAGCCTCTCTGCCACTCCAATCCGGCACGGGCTACGGAAGTAGGAGCGTGTACCGAGGGACACTCTCTGACAAGGCATCCTAAAACAAGGCTATCCCGGATTCACCATGAATCATCCATCCGGGGGGTGCCTTCAAGGATCTTCACACTCCCCATGATCAACATGTTCGCTCTCTCAACATGTGCTCGCCAAGGTACAGCTCTGGTCGCAGCTCGGATGCAAGCAAACATGTCCAGGTCTAGTGCTGGCGCATGCCGAACTTGTGCTATGCTCGCATCAGTTTTCCCTGCCGAAGCCAAGGTACAGCCAGCGTCGACGCCAGTGACTGGGCAACGACTGTCACACAAGAAATGCCCTCCAAGGTTATGATGTGGCCGCAACTTCACTGCAAAAAAAAAGCACGTCCACCCTTACAGTGTACTTGCGTCGTGTGTATGTGTGCGTGTGTGTGTGTGCCATACTTACATCGACTTTTCTGACGAAGCCAAGGCAGAACCAATGCTGTCAAATGGAAGAGTGGAAAGGAGGCTGAGCCGAAAACCTCGAAAACGAATAAAGCAGAAAAGATGGAGCACGTGCTGCCTAGAGTCTTGTTCAGTACCAAAAGTAGGGACAATGCAAATCTGCAAGAATTCCTGCGGACGCCCAAAGATCACGCAGCCCACGAGCCCTCGGCCCAAGCAACAAGCAAACGCTACACGTCTCAGTCTTCGGGTGCAGCCGCCATGCGTTCTCTGGCGTCGGGCTGCTTAACTCACTAATACATGCCCTCTCCCCCTTCCCCTCCTGCGAGTTGCTCTAACAATACAGCATTCCTTAAGGTCAGTCCTTCAACGTGGTGGTACACAGCGAATTCGGCCCACCCGTAATGCTCGCACTGCGAGCAGAAGCTACGGTGGACGACCTAAAGGCAGGCCAACTTCGCACTGTTGTCCTCGATGAACCCCCCCCCCCCCCCAAGCATGTGAATCTCAATATGCAGGCAATATGGTCCAACGCCACCTGGCTGGCTTGGCCCGCGACGTGCTTTTGCACCATCGGTCGGCTTCGAGTGAGCAAGGCACGTGACCAGCGCGCGGACACGGACGCTCAAGTCTCTTCCGCGCATCTTGTCAGGACCAACTCCTCCTGCCACTTCTCCTGCACCAAAGGACATACGTAGTCCACGTGTTTCACAACCGACGGCTCGGAGCGGGCTTTGCCCCCGCCCGCCTGTGAGAAAAAAAGCTTGAAGGATTTGGATACGACCGAAACGCCCGGGATCTGTGCAGAAGCAGACAGAAGCACAATTAAGCCGCAGGAATCCATCGAGCACGCGGCTCAAGCCCCAAGCACGATACTAGTGACCCAGCGCCATCTTCATCTCTCCGACGAGGCAACGACTTGACTCCAAACTTGCAAACACGCGATAGCACTTACAGGCCGGAGATATGGCAACCAACGGCGCCGTCCCCAGCTTCTGAGACCATCAGCGTTGCAAAAGACCGGCTCGAGGCACTGGATAACAGCACAAAAGCACCGTGAGTGTGGGCTCAGGCACAACAACGCCGGGAGCAATGCTAGCAGCGCCGTCGACGCCGGCTTTAGCAGTAACCGCATTGAACAACCTCCAGGACGTTGTCACAGCAGACTCCTTCCTATCGCTGGAGCTCGCCATCGAACAGGAAAAGAAGGCACAGCGAGCCCTGACCATCGCTGAGAAGGTGCTCCTTCTGGCAAAGAACGAGCGCGACGCATGCAAGACGAGAAAGCTGATGGCGACCCAGGACGTCATCGAAGCTCGGACCACTGAAAAGGAGAAGACCCGCATCGCCAAGAAGAAGAGGGAAGAGAAGATGCAAGACGAGCGACCCGGCACCAAGACAACGACCAGGACAAGCAAGAGGCAACGCGCGACATCAAAGCCGAAGGCACGTCAGCATCATCGACACAAAAAGACCAGATCCGCAGCAGAAAACTCGGCAGAACGGGAGGATGAACCAGATGCAGAGAGCACAGAGCGCCCCGACGCCGCACCGCAGCTGGAGAAGAATGGCGATCGCACCGGCGAAGACCACGCCGGCTAGAACGACCACCACATCCTGCCGACCGTCATGTCGCGAGCCGCTGCAACGAGAACTCCGGAAGATATGCCACAGATACCCGCTTGCAGTCTCACAGAAAGCAAACAAGGCAACTTGCTCGGTGTGCGGAAAAAACAGAACCCGCGCAGAGCAGTGCGGCAGATGCAAGTGCTCAGTGCAGGAGTAATGCAGCGCAAACATGCCCAAATGGCCATGGCCGCAGGCTCAAGCCGATCTGCCTCCGTGGGCGTTAAAGCTCAAAGCCACGGCATATACCGGACAGCTCATACCGCAAAGCAGACACGCACCCACCCAACCATGGCTTACCGTGCCATGCCGGGTCTCTACAGGGACATCGGCAAAGCTCTGGACAAGCTGCTTCAACAAGCACAAGGCACGCCACGCAAAAAAAAAAAATGAAATGCAGGTCGCAAGGGCCCAATCATGTGTCCCAACCTCGACCAGGTGAGCTCTCCATCGAAGGCGCTATGAGGTGGGAACGCACCTTCCGACAACTGGAGAGCATGGTCTCGGACATAAGTCTGGGACGACAGCAAGACGAGAAGCTCATCACGACGCAAGGCATCCAGAAGCTCCAAAAGCATCTCAGACTAGCTTGGAAATGCCGGCGACAGGCTGCACGAGAGCGCGCCAGTTCACGCCTTCGCCGCATCCGATAAGGAGCGAAGCCCAAAGCACCTGGGTACTCGCCGACGAATCGTGCACTGCTCACCAGCCTCCTTGCCTGACAAAAAAAAGAGGAAAATCGAACACAGACGCTGCCGTGCAAGTTTCCAGAGCAGCCAACCAGATCCCGGTAGAAGTAGCAATAGGAGCAGTAGCAGTAGTAGTAGTACTAAATCGCGACGACAACACTAAAACGACGCTAGCAACGAAACATGCGCCCGGCAGCCCAGTGCGGCTCATCAGCTCATGTCTTCACGCACAAAAAGATTCTCGCACCAACACACCCAGCCTAGGTGCCATGCCGGAACAGAAACAAATCAAGCCAATGATACAACACTCACACATCAGAGACTTTTTTGTTTAAAAGATGCCGTTCATCATCTGGCACGACGCTCACGAGGCAAGCTGAACCAATGCCACGTCAGAAACGCTGCGGTAACCCATCCCGCACAGGTATCCTATATGCTAGCCGAAGAGTACATGTGGGCCACGGCGGACTGGCTCGATCCGGAGGCCAGAGTGCATGCAGCCAAGACCTGCAAAAAGCCATTCGAGCCAAGGAGCATAACTACACGGTCACAGCAGAGGCACGCTCCAACAGCAGCAAGCAAGCCAAGAGACGACACGAGCTCGCGCCAAGGAACCAGACCTCCTCCACTCCTTTCGCTTCGTGGGTCCCACGAGAGATGAAGCAGAGGCCGGGATGTCTACACGAACAACACTCCCCCGAACAAAACGGCCGAGGCACGTCGCGCGGACGAAGAGCTTCAGGCGCACCTCCAGGACACTACCGTTTCGCGCCACTGGACACTAGCACCGATCGACGAACCCCAGGACACAGTGTGGACACAATCCTGCGACCACGCCGAGGCGGAAAAGGGAGCAAAGAGCCACGCCAGCAAAAGCACGCAAGCTAGCACTGCGAAAGGCCAGCGAAAGCGCTCCCGAAGAGGACGAGAACGGAGCAAGCAGCGCCAGCAGCAAACTGGCTGCCGTCGAAGGATTCCCGCGACAGTGACAGCGACTCCGGGACATCCACAGCGGCACTTCCCGGATGTGCGGGCCTCAAGGCTATCCGACAGAGACGCACGCAGCGACACCCGCTCTCAGGTCGAAGGATGACAGGCGAAGCTCGCTGCGAGTGCGGAGCCTGCGCGATTGCGGGCCGCAACCGATTTTAACACCGCGCCTGTTTCGGACAAAAAAAAAGAACGAGTCCGGGAACAAAACGCAGCGTCACAACAGCATGGACTGCCATTACCGCGAAAAGACCCCACAGACGCCACTGCCACTCGCGCAGCACTGACCGGCTCAAGCGAAGCAGCAAACACAACGCTGTGCACTCTTTGGCTCCAACCTGAACAGCCATGGACCTCCTGACACCGTCGGACGCCGAGCGCCTGCACCCAAGCGGCCTAATCTACCTCGCCAATGTCATGCGGACCAAACAGGACATCGGCCGCTGGAGTCAAGCACTGCGGCAATGGCGGCCGCCGCGAACTCCACTGAGAGTGCACCTGGAGAACAACAGTCTGGACGAGCACGACGCAGCTGAGATCCTGCAGGCCATCGGCGGGGACGTGCAGGCGGTGTACCTGCACCACAACAACATCCGAAGCCTGGAACCGCTCACGCCCTTCATCGAGCAGCACTGGGAGACCCTAAAGGAGCTGCACCTGAGCCACAACCGACTGTCCACGACGGAGACGAAGGCCTTGCTCCTTCTGCTCGGCTGCACGAAGGTGAGCGCCGCCGGAGCCGAAACCGCCGGCAGTTGCTCCTGGCTGAGGTTGGAATTCAACCACATCGACGTGGACGGACTCCTGGAGCAGCTGCCCTCGCAGATCAAAAATAGACTACAGCTCAGCGACAGAGGATGCACTCCGAGACACTGCTGTTGCCAGGGACGACGGTACACCAAGCACATCCACTGCAAGTTCTTGACAGAGCAGCGCACAATCATGCCGGAGCACAAAATCCATCATCGCGATCAACGGCGCGAGCCAGCTCCCTCACGAAGTCGCTGCCAAGACGACGAGGAGACCCAGGACAACCCAAAGACTGTAACTTAAGCAGACCAGCTAGACGAAGACCAAAGCCACAGCCACGAAAAAAAAAACAACCAACCTGTCCAGAAGAGCAGCGACCCAAACCCTTCAGCCCGACCTAAAGACACACAAAAAAAAGAGATCAACACCAAAGTCGTCCTGCCACAGCTCTGCAGCAGGAACCGCGGCCAAGCATCTCATCGGTATAGGCAGCCCGGTTTCACCCGAGAAAAGATATGCACACAGTCCGTAAAAGCCCGGGCAATGCCATCGGCAGCCAGCGCTGACAGAACCGGCAGACTAGCAGCATGCAAGTCCGACTGCCCGCCGCCGCGAGGCACAGCATGTCCCGCAGCCACGTCAAGCCAAACACGCGTAGACCGCATGAAGGCCTACCGGCAAACAGCCCCCGCCCCGCGGCGGCAGCCATGGCGACGAACGAGGCGACGACGAGAGCGCCGGGACAAACACCCGTGGCCTCGAGGGCAGCAGAATACCAATGAAAAGATGAAGCACGTCATCAAGCAGCACTGGAAAGACGAGCAAGAGTACACCGACGCGAAGACGCTCCGTCCCTTCCTGCTAGCACTGCTCACGTCCTCGGAGTCCGGGTACTCTCGACAGCAGCGACTCTGGCAAGATGCATGCTGGTTCCTCAGCAAGCAGCACAGAGCTCAGGCGGAAACAGTCAATGTGCGCAGCATAGAACGACACAATTGACCTCACGGGCGGACTTGCGAAACACTCACGTCACGCTCTGTCCACCGCCAAGGTGCGCAACAGCTGGCGGCGGTCGCCAGAAAGCGGCATGGGACGAACTTCCGACGCGACTCCGCAAGATGCAAACCGAGACCTTATCGGCGCGGTCGGAGCCGGGACACCCACGACAGCAGCACCTCTGGCAGGACGCGTGCTGGTTCCTCACGCAACAGCCCGCGACTCAGAGAAAAACCCACAGATCACGCAGCATGCACACGGTAAAACTAACACCCACAGACACAGCTGCACGTCGGTCCCATAACGATATGTCCACCACCAAGGCACGAAGCAGCCCGCGACGGTCTCCAGAAAGCAGCATGGGACCGACTGCTGACGAGACTTCACCTGATGCAGAACGAGACCAAACAAGCGGGACGTCGCATCGTACTGCTCAGAGCGCAAGGCTAAAAGCCACGCACATAGGCAAGCTCTCAAGAAGCTCCCCAGACCAGATGCCGGTGAGCCGGTACATTCTGTTTCAAGCTTTGTGCTCCAAGCCGAGCTACACACTCGGAGACGCCACCGTCAGTCGCGATGGCAGCTCAAGAACAGCAAAATTAATCCGAGAGTGCTTGCTCCTTTGCATGAAACCACGCCGCCGTCACCGCCGACACATCCTCGGAAAGCCGGCTAGCTCGTAAAAAACAAACGGCTTCGAGCGATACCAGCCCCTGCTCTCGCCGGCCGACAGGCTCAAGCCTTGGATACTCTCGAGAGCCCTCGCAGCCTAGAAGCAGCCACACAGAAGAGCGGCATGGCAGGCAGCAGAGCTCACACCTGCGTCCCCTCCACGAAGAAACAGCGCTGCAGCACCGGTGGAATCAGACTGAGATCACGTGCCACCACCGGCGACGCAGCCGGGCGCGAAGACGGCTCGGAGCTCGTTGCCACCATCCGACGCTGGGGAAGCACCTTCGGTGTCTTCGAGGACGGCTCCTGCGGGGAACCGTTCTGGCAAATCCAGATCGCGCAAAAAGGGCGGCAAGCTTTTGGCTACGACTTGCTGGCCACGTGCAGAGAAGCCTTGCAGAAACACCCCGACACCGACATTCGCACCCTAGCGCAGCTGGAGGCCAAGATGCACATCAGAATCCTGGGCGGGGCCCCTCCCATAACCGGGCCATCGGATCCCGACGACGTGGGCATACAAAACTGGCAACCCGTGCTGTACGCCCCCACGCCAGAGGACGCGCTGAACCTGGTCCACTTCATCACCCGGCACAAGGTGACCACCGGGCAACTTCTGGAACTCCCGCACTTCATCGCCTTGTTCCCATGCAAAGACTCCGCAAGCGTACCCGCACCCTGGATCGTCCACGACGAGCACCCGCTGAAACACCTGCCATTCCAAGCGCTCCCGCCGCGAGGCCGCCGACATGTGCTGTTACAAGTAGAACTGGAAGGAGCTGCCGATGAAACGACGACCAGGCCAGTCGTCAACGAGGAAACGAGCCAGAAGGTACCCGACGCACCACAAGCCGGCCAACAGTACAATCTCATGATCTTCGG